GAGGCGTGCGAATGGGGCCATGCAACCCAAACTATGCACCCTGCAGTCAACCACTGCGGTCTGCGCTCCTTCAATAGGAGGAGCAGCAAAGCGAGAGGCACTCTCTCTCTCCTGAAGCCCTCTAGAAGCAGCAGCAGCAAGACCTCGACATTGAGCTCCTGAACCAAGCACTGCAATCATCATGCGCTAGAGTAGAATAGTGGGGAGTGAGAAAGTGAGAGGGAGTGAGAGAGAGTGAGAGAGTGAGAGGAAGTGAGAGACAGTGAGAGTGAGAGGAAGTGAGAGATATTGAGAGGGTGAGAGGGGATCGCTGCACGTGACAGGGGTTCCGGGACTACGTTGGTGGTAATGTTGGTGGTGATGTTGGTGGTAAAGTTGGTGGTGATGTTGGTGGTAATGTTGGTGGTGATGTTGGTGGTGATGTTGGTGGTAATGTTGGTGGTAATGTTGGTAGTGATGTTGATGGTGATGTTGGTGGTGATGTTGGTGGTGATCTTGGTGGTAATGTTGGTGGTAATGTTGGTGGTGATCTTGGTGGTAATGTTGGTGGTAATGTTGGTGGTGATGTTGGTGGTAATGTTGGTGGTAATGTTGGTGGTGATGTTGGTGGTGATGTTGGTGGTGATGTTGGTGGTGATGTTGGTGGTGATGTTGGTGGTGATGTTGGTGGTAATGTTGGTGGTGATGTTGGTGGTGATCTTGGTGGTAATGTTGGTGGTGATCTTGGTGATGATCTTGGTGGTAATGTTGGTGGTAATGTTGGTGGTGATGTTGGTGGTGATGTTGGTGGTGATGTTGGTGATGATCTTGGTGGTGATGTTGGTGGTGATGTTGGTGGTGATGTTGGTGGTAATGTTGGTGGTGATGTTGGTGGTGATCTTGGTGGTGATGTTGGTGGTGATGTTGGTGGTGATGTTGGTGGTGATGTTGGTGGTGATGTTGGTGGTGATCTTGGTGGTAATGTTGGTGGTAATGTTGGTGGTGATGTTGGTGATCTTGGTGGTGATCTTGGTGGTGATGTTGGTGGTGATGTTGGTGGTGATGTTGGTGGTAATGTTGGTGGTGATCTTGGTGGTGATGTTGGTGGTGATCTTGGTGGCAATGTTGGTGGTGATGTTGGTGGTGATGTTGGTGGTGATCTTGGTGGTAATGTTGGTGGTGATGTTGGTGGTGATCTTGGTGGTAATGTTGGTGGTGATGTTGGTGGTGATCTTGGTAGTAATGTTGGTGGTGATGTTGGTGGTGATCTTGGTGGTAATTTTGGTGGTGATGTTGGTGGTGATCTTGGTGGTAATGTTGGTGGTGATGTTGGTGGTGATCTTGGTGGTAATGTTGGTGGTGATGTTGGTGGTGATCTTGGTGGTAATGTTGGTGGTGATGTTGGTAATGGTTATAAAAGTGATTTTGCTGGTGATGTTGATGATGTTGGTGGTGGTGATGTTGGTGATGGCGGTGAGGGGAGCGGTGGCGCAACGGTTAGCGCGCTGCGCTACAAACAAGGTGACCCGAATTTTGATTTAAAGCTTTCGTGACTGCAGTAATTCATATTCTTAGTTTTTTCGGTAAAGTCACGTTGAAGAGAAACAACAAAATAACAAAATATATATATAAAACAATAAAAAAATTCTCACGACGTTTCGACCATAACTCAAACGGTCAACGTGACTTTACCGAAAAAACTAAGAATAAGGTGACCCGAGTTCGATTCCTGTCACGGCCACCACCAGTGAAGATTGTCTGAGCCGGTCCTGGGCCTCCCCTCGCTCGACTCAGCCTCAAATGAGTACCTGGTGCAGTGTGTAGACATCGCCACTGGGGAGACAAAGGCGGACGGGCGCGGAGCTGGCCACCCACCCCCTCGTGTGCCGTGCCGGCCTTCATAGGTACTCGCAAACAGCACTTGCCCCAACAGTCTGCTAAGGCTATACGGGGGATCTTTGTCTTGGCGATGATGGTGATGTTGTTGGTGATGATGGTAATGATGGTAATGATGGTGATGTTGGTGATGATGGTAAAGATGGTGATGTTGGTGATGATGGTGATGTTGGTGATGATGTTGGTGGTGATGATGTTGGTGATGATGTTGGTGATGATGGTGATGTTGGTGATGATGTTGGTGATGATGATGACGTTGGTGATGACGTTGGAGATGATGTTGGTGATGATGGTGATGATGTTGGTGGTGGTGATGATGATGGTGATGTTGGTGATGATGATGACGTTGGAGATGATGTTGGTGATGATGTTGGTGATGATGGTGATGATGTTGGTGATGATGATGGTGATGTTGGTGATGATGATGACGTTGGTGATGACGTTGGAGATGATGTTGGTGATGATGATGATGTTGGTGATGATGATGACGTTGGTGATGACGTTGGAGATGATGTTGGTGATGATGGTGATGATATTGGTGATGATGATGGTGATGTTGGTGATGATGACGTTGATGATGACGTTGGAGATGATGTTGGTAATGTTTGAAAACTCGAGACCTCAGCAAGTGCTTCCACCACAACTCCCCGATGTTGGACAGCGTGTTGGTCGGCACGATGTCCGACGTTTCGCTCCCCGTGCTGAGAGAGCTTCGAAATAACATTTTCGATTAGACAAGTTATATGAAGAAGGGCTATTTCCCGAAACGTCGTCCATTATATCGGTTTTCCATTCGAGGCCACACACCGTGCTATTGACGAGTGTGCTGTGTTGTTATTTCTGCTTGCGCATCACTGCCAACGCAGCAGCATCAGTATCAGATTATTATTAATAAACATGTAATTACTAATTACCGTTGACTAAAATGGATTGTTTTAATTCATTATTATGGTGGATCAGAATCCTCTAATAGAATCGATTATCGATTAAATACCCGTGATCTTCTCGAGTCGAGGATCGATTCCTGTCCTCCCGGCGTGACGAGGCCGCTAAACAAAACCTCGCGGTGACGTCACCGACGCCCCCTCCCAGCCCCGCCCACGGCGATTTGAGAACAATGGGGAGGAGGGGGAGGAGGCGACCTCCGTCGCGCATTGTCACCGCGAACGCCCGAGAACAATGCGCGTCACGTGACCAATCTGGAGGATGGAAGGGGGGGGGTGAAGAGTCGGGTGAGATCACGGCAGGAGTAGGGTGGAGCGGTGTGAGCTCAACAATAGAAGGGGCAGTAACATCGCAGCAGCAACAACATGAGTAGCAACAGCAGTAGTAGCAGCATCAGTAGTATCAGCAACAGCATCAGTAGCAACAGCAGTAGCAACAGCAGTAGTAGCAGCAGCATCAGTAGCAGCATCACTAGCAACAGCAGTAGCAGTAACAGTATCAGTAGCAACAGTATCAGTAGCAACAGCATCAACAGCAACCGCAGTGTTGGGCCGATCGAGCCAAACAACTCCTGAGTAAGAAATTGCCCCACCCCCACCCAAGGCAGCAGGACCCTCCTGATAAAGAGCCATCAGACTCAAGTTTCTCCTTGCTTGATAAATGAACGGCCATCGCCACGTCGCTGTCGTCACAGCGTCGTCGCGTTACGTAACAACAGCTTCCGCCAATCGGCTCTACGTAACAACAGCTTCCGCCAATCGGAGCGTGTGGATCGCGTGGTGGTGGCGGTGGTGGTGATGGCTGTGGTGGGCGCGACAGGAACACGCGGTCGGATACGGATGGGGTGTAGGGTCAGGGCCAGGGCCACCCATTGGCTGAACACGACGATTTTTCAGAGGACTGCACAACTGGGGATCCATCTTCGCCGGATGTGGGGGGGGGGCGAGGGAAGGGGTGGCGAGCGGTCCTTGTCCCGTGTCCTCGCCTCAACTCGATGCCTCCCTGCGGCCAATGGCAGGGATCAGAAGTCGCTTCTCGCCTCCTCCACGTATCCGTCCCTCCGCACGGAGAGATAATCGCGTCTGTTTAGACATCCCATCAGCCACCCCAACTAAAAATCCTCAACCCTAACCCTTGTTCCTAAGCGCGTGCTGCCCTGCCCCGTTGCACGGGCACGAGTGTGGAATTAAATTCCTCCCAGCCACCCGTGCTGTCGACTGCTGCCGCTGTTCTATTCCAGCCTCAAGCATTTCCTCTTCTCCTCTGCCTATCATCGACCGCCTCTCCCCATAAAATAAAAGTCACTGTTTCTGTGCAGTGTCTTGAGTCGTGGGCGCATTTAGACGCTGCTATATCCATCCGACATGTCTGTGGATCCACACACAGATCCGTGGACTCACAGAGGCGCCCATAGACTCACAGAAGGACCCAGAGACTCACAGAGGGACACACACGCACATAAAGACCAATAGACTCACACAGAGTTATGTATGGTGACTCGGAGACTCACATGGAGACCCATAGACTCCCTGCCTAATCCGTGCCTTGGTGATGCAGCTTGTCAGAGCGCTTGTAAAGAGGTCCCGACCACTGCCTAGCGTGGCGTCGCGTACTGCGCAGTGGTGCGGCGTGGTGGTGGTGTGGCCTGGCGTGACATGACATGGCCCAGCGTGGTGTGTGTGGTCCTCCCATCGTGTTGCCTTTTGGCACGGCACGGTGTGGCTTGGCGTGGTGTGGTGCGCGTGTGTGGTCCACCTAGCGTGCCAAATTCGCGTTTGCGTGGCACAGTCCCCGGGCAGAGGAAGAAAGCCGCGCGGCCCCAGGGGTCGCTGCGTTCCTTGCCGCGCGTTCCCAGCGCGTCGCGATCGCCTCTGCCGCGGTTAATTTCACAGTGAATTTACCGTGCATTGACCTTTCCTCCTCCCCGCGCCCCAGTTTGCATCCTGCTCCAAATATAGCGGCCCGCCCCCACCCCCATTCCTTACCGCAGCAGCGGCCGCGAGCTCAGCGCGACTCACGCGTGGCGCCGTCGTCACGGAACTGGCGATTGCAATCACTCAGCCAACACGCGCAATTATAGCGACTGCGCTCTTGGACATCTTCCAAGGGGCGCAGTTGCTTCGCTCGAGCGGAGGCCCGTCCCGCCAGCAGTGGCGTGAGCAAAGCTGTCGCACTTTCAACTTTAAAAAAAATCAAATTTATTGAAATTGAGGACGTAGCAAGCATCGCCCCTCGCCGCGCGATACGTAGCAGGACCCTCCTGAAAAAGAGTCAAGAGACTCAGCGGAGGGTTTCCTGGGTAACCGAGCGGAGTCAAAGCCTACAATAAAGATTTTGTTCTGCCCTAAATGCCATCCACTGAACACATTTTGGCAGCAGATGCGCATAGCTGATGCACAAATGGAAAAAAATAAAAACGCTCCAGTTAGTGTGCGACTGCGGTCATGCAGAACCGCCCGTGCAACGTCGCAATGCCCGAACCACAAATACGAAGGAGACATCACAGCGACGATGATACACTCGGCGGCTCCTGACGCGGTCGTCTGGAGCTTGACCACCTGAATGTGACGTTGGTAGTTGTTGATCTGCGTCTACATCAGCAGCCGGACGACAAGAAGAATAATTAAAACATAATCTATGCCTCGAGTTTCCTGGCTGGCTTGCTGGCCTGGGCTCCTGTCCACGCCAATGACAACTCCGTCGTTGCTGTTGCTAGCGGCTGCTGTGAGCCGTTGCCAGAGAAACTTGCGGGTTAAGTGGCTACACGGGAATTTCCGTGTGGGCAAATAGACATCGAATTGGATTGAAACGGCGGAAGAAGGAGTTGGTGGGACGACGGATCGCGACACGGGAGAGGTGGGAGTAACGAACACGGCACAGCAACTCTAAACGGCCCATTTAGTGTTGCTCTAACATCTCAATTTGTGGCCCTATTCACGGGATTATTTCGCCGGAATATTCTTTAAATCTGAGGAAATATTTAACAAAACCTCGTAATACATGTTATCTCGGGATGTGTATTATTATTACGACTACTACTACCCAATAAGCTGATTCCTTTTAGTGCTCCGAGTACAGGATGATTGTGAGTCGAGCATGGGAAGGAGAGCTGTTGCTGGTCACCTTGTTCACTCTGGCTGGTTACAATGATCGTCGTGATCGTCGTTCAGTAGATTCTGGGTGTGGGCGCGCTGATAGTTCACCGGAACAGCGAGATTGCCTGCCTTCACACGCCGAATGTAAAGCCACAACTTGAGTGAGTCTGCAATACAGAGGGCGACAGATGGAGATGCTGCAATGGCACTGGTCCTCAATGAACAGCAGCAGCAGCAGCAACTCATTCGTTCATAGCACTGTGGCCCTCAAGTAAAGGATATAGTTAACGGTCCGGACAATGACCGCTCTTCATTGCAATATTTATATACTGTGTATGGACTGAGTATTGATATCGCGTCCCATGCCACTTTATAGAACAAGAAACCACTGCAAACAAGATTGCCTACGACTTTAAACACGTGTAACACACGACATATATACTTGACACTACCACCTGAGTGATGTACCCTGCGGTGTGATTGTGACACTCTGGAGCATAAGACGCACGCCAAACTTGCGCCTGACAGGTGTTCATAAGGTGATGTGAAATTTGGTAACGCACACAGACACCGACCTGCCTACCCGATTATAAGACGCACCCCCAACGTATGCTTTCAATTTCAGTGGCGAGGTGCGTCGTATAATCTGGGGAAATAAAACTAAATGTAAACCGAGGAATAACTCGTGGGAGTGAAGAGTTCGCAGATCGCCGCTCAATCACGTGGGGGGCTGCGGCGCTCATCATCATCATCATCATCTCTGGCTGCCCCGAGCCGGCGGTGGAAATTCCACGTTATGGTGGCGGAGGCCCAGCACGCTCACAGGAAACGGCAATTACCGCCACGTCTCCCCACACGCGTCACGCGTGCTTCAGGCTAAAGATGAATGGAGCTGACCTGGAAGGGCGGCGGGTTGAACCGGCGCGAATCGGCCAGGCGAACAGACGTCAGGGGGGCCCGATAGGATCTCCCGAAAGCGACGCGTGCCCATTTATTTGTGTCCGCATTCCCACCCACGCGCGTACAGCGACGACACCTCCGCGTCACCCGGCACCCGGGGCCCTTCCTGTGAACCTGACCCCCCTCCCTCCACCTCCTCCTCTCCACCTCCCTCCCTTCCCCCCCTCTCTGCCTCCCTCGACCACCCTCCACCTCCCTCCCTCCCTCCCACCTCTGCGCTACCTCCTGCCATAAATATTTACCTTGGCAGCAGCGGCTCCTCGATTTGCTTCCCCGCGCGGTCAGATGAGACGGTGGTGATGCGGCCGAGCGGGTGAGCGCGGTCGCCCCGTCGTCGTCGCTGTTGTTGGCGCTGAGGTTCGCGGTTCGAAACCAGCGGTCGCCCTGGTTAATGCTGCGGGTGATTTATTCATTAATAGTGAACATACGCACCGGCTGCTACACAGTATGTGTCAAACATCCCGTGATGGCATTCGCAAGAGTAGGCCGGTGTGTGTAGGCCGATGTGTGTGTGTGTAGGCCGGTGTGTGTGTAGGCCGGTGTGTGTGTGTGTGTGTAGGCCGGTGTGTGTGCATAGGCCGGTGTGTGTGTATAGACCGGTGTGTGTGTGTAGGCCGGTGTGTGTAGACCAATCGGTGTGTGTATACTGGTGTGCGTGTGTAGACCAGTGTGTGTGTGTTGGCCGGTGTATGTGTGTAGACCGGTGTGTGTCTGTAGACCAGTGTGTGTGTGTTTAGACCGGTGTGTGTTCACCGGTGTGTGTGTAGACCGGTGTGTGTGTAGACCGGTGTGTGTGTAGACCGGTGTGTGTGTGTAGACCGGTGTGTGTGTAGACCGGTGTGTGTAGACCGGTGGGGGTGTGTAGACCGGTGCGTGTGTGTAGACCAGTGTGTGTGTAGACCGGTGTGTGTGTAGACCAGTGTGTGTGTAGACCGGTGTGTGTGTGTAGACCGGTGTGTGTAGACCGGTGTGTGTGTGCAGATCGGTGTGTGTGTGCAGACCGGTGTGTGTGTGTAGACCGGTGTGTGTGTGTAGACCGGTGTGTGTGTGTGTATAGACCGGCGTGTGTGTGTAGACCGGTGTGTGTGTAGACCGGTGTGTGTGTGTGTAGACCGGTGTGTGTGTAGACCGGCGTGTGTGTGTAGACCGGTGTGTGTGCGTGTAGACCGGTGTGTGTGTATAGACCGGCGTGTGTGTAAACAAAAACAACCCCCTACCTCCTCGTTCGTGCCAGACGGCAACGCTGTGTTGAGCAGTGCCATGGGGGAGAGGGCCAACTTAGATTTGCTATTCCCCTCATGGCGTGTGTAAACACCACAGCGGCCAAATGGGGGCTCTGAACGGGTAACTTCTCCACCTTCTCCACCTTCAATTAATTACCACAAAACCACGTCTAAAAAATATAATTAAGCTTGTGCCGGAGGCCCCGTGGGGACAGGCATCTATGACATCTCCTGGCCAAACCCCATTTGGCGGAGCCAGGAGACTGAATCAGACACAATAAAAAACTACTGCGTGTGGCCACGTGAAATGTTTGAACGCTCACTGCGGAGGAGAGGCTGCCACTCATCTGTCGGGAGCTGGACCGGTACCGCCTGGATTTCTGTGGTATTCAGAAGTCGGTGGACCGGTTCTGGCTCCTGCCACCATGAGGGGTGGACAGTCCTCTACTCGGGGCAGGAGGCTGACAAACAACAGGGAGAGGCTCTTCTTCTTAAAATAATGAAGGGGGCGTTGTAGCATAGCGGTGAGGTGTGGGAAGCTGTAAGCCCCAGGCTACTTTGGGCTCACCTTCCCATCAACCAGAGGCGAGGAGTGGTGGTCGTGGTTACTTATACCCCCACCGAAGACGAACATCCGGGGAGGGATGCAGGCAAGGCCGATGGGTCAGATGCCTTCTATGACGTCCTGTCCCAGGTGCTGGCTAAAGTGGCCCCTCGGGATAGAGTCATCTTGTTGGGTGACTTCAATGCCCGAGTTGGTCATTATGCTGGCACCTGGTCTGGAGTGATTGGAGGGCATGGGCCAGATCAGCTCAATAACAACGGCAGGAGGCTGCTAGACTTATTTGCAGCTCATCGGCTTGTAATTACCAACACGCTGTTCAGTCATCGGCGCATCCACACAACATGATGGATGTATGCCAGGTCCAAGCAAGAACATTTGCTGGACTATATAGTGACGAAACAGCGGATGCGGGCCCATGTCCTTGATACCAGGACCTACCGTGGAGCTGATCTGCCCACTGACCATCGACTAGTCATCTGTAAGATGCGCCTGCCATTCTTCCACTCCTGTGGTGGGTGTACACCCAGGACCCCATTCAAACCCAATGTAGCATGGTCTAAGCTAGCTGATGAAAGTTGCAAGCGAGAATTTCATCATCGCTTGCGGCTGGGGTTGGCATCGTCCCCCACTCCTCCAGGTGTCGAGGGGAAATGGGCGAGGTTTAGGACTTTGGCTCATGCAGCTGCAATGACTGCTTTGGGTACACGGTCCAGACCTCCCCAGAGACCCTGGCTGACAGAGGAGGTGTTAAGGCTGGCTGATAAAAAGTGACAGGCCCACTCTCATCGTCTATAGCATCCCACGTCAGAGAATGAGGAGGATTACCGCATCCTTTGCTCGGAGGTTCAGAGAGCCATGAGGCCTTGCAAGGATGGGTGGTGGTCGCGGGTTGCTGAGTAGATGGAGTCTGCCTCAATGGCCCGCGATGACAAATCGCTATTTAACTCCATCATAAAAGTAACCCTCAGGAACAGGTTTACAGATTTGCTGAGCATTTCTATGAGGTCTTGGGGGAGGGGAGATCCCTCAGCCTGGAAAACATCGTGGGACAAAGTTGCGATGACCCTGCTGAGCCTGCAGTGTCTCAAATATTGGAAAAAGTCACTCCCTGTGAGTGGCTGGCTGAGGTGCCATCTGTTGAGGAAGTATTGAAGGCGATCCAGAGTCTGAGACCAGAAAAGGCACCGGGCAGAGATGATCTCTCAAGCGAAATGCTGAGGGAGGGTGGCGTTTGTGCATAGACTGCCCTACATGACATCATAACAGTGTGGACCACTGGACGGGTTCCGCAGGATTGAAAGGATGCCCTGGTGGTCCCCCTCTTTAAGAAGGGGGACCGCACAGATTGTAACAACTACAGGGGCATCTCACTCCTCAGTGTGCCGGGAAAGGTCCTGGCAAGGATTATAATTATTCAACATCACCTTGCCAGGCACGCTGAGGAGAGGCTTGCGGAGCCCCAATGCGGTTTCATGAAAGGGCGGTTCTGCACAGATGCCGTATTTTCTGTTCATCTGCTACAGCAGAGGTGTAGGAAATTCCAACAAAACCTACATCTCTGCTTTATTGACCTGGTCAAGGCCTATGATACTATCAGTTGGCCTGGGCTATGGGTTATTCTTTGTGCTTTCAGAGTCCCTGACCCTCTGCTCATGATCATTAAGGACCTTCATGATGGTAAGCGTGCCCGGGTAAAACTATGTGGCCGGGAGTTTGAGCAATTCCCTGTTCACCTTGGGGTGCGACAGGGATGTCCTCTGGCTCCCACATTATTTAACAACTTTTTCGACCACGTAGTTCGTGAAGCATTCGATGGCTGTACCGGATACATTTCCATCTGGTACAGATATAATGAGAGGCTGATCGATGCTTGGGTGCGGTCAAGGGATGGCTCCCTATTGGTCAACCACGTTATGTGTGCCGATGATCTGGTAATTGCTGCTCACTCATTGGAGGAGTTGGAGGCGCTTCTGCTGAACCTGGAGCTTGCCACTAAGAGGTGGGGCCTTACCATCAGCCCCACCAAAACTAAGCACCTGCCTGGGTATTTTGTACCATCGGACACTCCACCCCCACAACTCCCAATTGGTGATGGGGCAGTTGTGGTGAGAATAGAGAGTTTCCCATACCTGGCCACGAAGCTTCAGGTCTTCTCAGCCACAGTCATTCCCTCCCTTCTCTACGCTTGCGAAACGTGGACCCCCCTAATGGAACATCTTCGCCGGTAAGAAACATTTAGGCTGGCCTGCGATCCGTCCTGGGTTTAACCAGGCTGGATTGTGTGAGGAGCTCACAAATCCTTGAAAGATCTGGACAAAGTCCCATCGTGAGCTCCTCCGACAGACAAGGCTGCGTTGGCTGGGTGATGTAGCCCGCATGCCCAGACACCGCATGCCTAAACAGCTTTTGTTTGGCCGCTTAGAGGGAACTAAATGGACGCGGCACAGGCTGGAGAAGAGATGGAGTGATGTGGTACAGGAGGATGTGGAGCTGAGTGGACTTGCCGATGACTGGTACCAGCGGTGTCAAGATCGGCCTCTGTGGGGGAGGCTCGTGACGGACGCTGCAGGGCAGTCGGAGGCAGTCACCCTTCAACAACAAAGGAGGGCGGAGGAGCGATGCTCACAACAACGAGCGGAGCGCCGGGTGGCTAAAGCACAGCAGGTTGGTACAGTAGGGGGCACAGGTGGTGCATCAGCCAGTCATCTCAGTCAGTCGACCGGTGGCACCTGGGTCTGCCCCATGACCTCCTGCCAGCGGGCGTTCGACACTTCACGTGGCCTCAAAGTGCACATAGCCTGGCACAAGCGTCGTGGTGACGTCACCGCCACTTAGTGGCGAATGGCGGTTGTTGTTGTGTGTGTAGAGCAGTGTGTGTGTAGGTCCAAATATTGACGAATTTTAACGATTACTGCGATAATTGTGCAGGACACACATCGCACCAGGTACTCAGTTGAGGCCGAGTCGACCTAGGCGGCCCCCGGTTCAGATATTCGTCAATAGTTTTGGTGGCTGTGAGCGATAATCGAACCCGGGTCGTCGGGGTTCGTAGCGCAGTGCGCTAGCCGCTGCGCCTTGCTCCCCACACACACGAATATAAACACGCGTCCACAAAGACAAAGATCCCCCGTGTAGCCTTAACAGACTGTTGGGGTGAAGTGCTGTTAGCGAGCACCTTTGAAGGCCGGAACGGCACACAGGTGGGTGGGTGGCCAGCACCACGCCCGGCTGCCTTTGTCTCCCCTGCGGCGATGTTTACACACCGCACAATGTACGAATTTAAAGGCTGAGTCTACCTAGGGGATGCCCGGGACCGCTTCAGATAATCGTCACTGGCGTTGGCCGTGGGCGGATATCCAAGCCGGATGACCGCGTTCGTAGCGCAGCGCGCTAACCGCTGAGCCACCGCTCCACATACAAATACAAACACGCGTCCACACGCACACACGCACGTGCGTGTACATAGAGGCGCGCGCACATTCACACCATTCACACGCGGAAGTAAACACGCGTGCACACAGAGGATCACAGAGGGTGACAGGACGCTCGGTCAAGGGCAAGCGGTGGGGACTCATTGTCTGTCAAGTCAATGGGGGGGGGGGGGGGGGTTAGCGGGGGGATTTCCTGGGCACAGAAGAAAAATACTGGGGGCATCTCCTTGTGTGCACATCTAACGGTGTGTCCGCGTGTGTGTGATCGGTGTGTG